TCCATCCATTCACAGAACACTCTGCTTGTACTAGTCTATGACTTCAATAAATTGAATTGAATTGAATTGAATCAAAATAATCTTCCATGGCTCTTTTCTAACTATTTATCCATCAATCCTAAAAGTAAAAGTACTGTCTTCCACTGAATAATAGTCTTTTAATTATTAATGTATGCATTTGAATACAAAATTTCTAGTTTTTTTACATGTCCACCAAGCATGATAAAATGTTCCTTCATGTTGTTCATATTTCAAATATATTCAAACATATATTTGAAATGGGTTCATACATTTTAGATATTTTCTCTGGTGTCATGTGCCAACTTTCTCTTCCTGCTTATTGGATGCGTCACTGTTTAATTCAGATGAATCAGGGATCAGGGATGCCTAGAGATGGTATATTTGAGGGAATTTGCTTTTTAATATACCCATTTTGGGTTGGTAAATCATTATTAATATGATTAAAACTATATTGTATTTTAAAGAACTTTGGATTTAATTAACTTGGAGGGTAGCCAAATATATTAATTTTGGGTGGCGGGGGAGGACTGGAAAGAGAGCTGGCATAGTGTTGGATTAGGAATAGGACGATCCTGATTTGAGTCTCAACCATGGAAGTTCACGCTTCCTTAGCCCTGTCATCCAGTTGCACTCTTCCCTGGATCAAGCAGCTCTCCAGACAGTCACTCGTGCCCTTGTTACCTCACATCTTGATTACTGCAACATACTCTACTTGGAGCTACCAATCAGAACAAGCCTACCTCACATGTCCATGTGTCTCTCTTGCATTGCAAGCTGCTCTGGTTGCTGGTGTGCCATTCAAGATCCTCGTTGTGACCTATAAGGCCACATTTGGCTTTCACCTTGGTTTTTGAGGGCCTGCCTGTTTCTCACACTTGCTATCTGGCTAGTATGATCTGGCAGAATTGGCATGTCTCATTCTTCTCAATTAACCAGTGTCATATCTCCAACCTGAGGGCATTTTGGAAGAGCTTGAAAACATTTTATTTCTACGTCTCAGGATAGGAAGGTTGAGACTCCTGTTTGTGCTCTTTTTATATCTTATAATTGTTGTATGGCTTGCCTTCATATAATTGTTTTGTAATTTCTATTTGTTCTTTAACTTAACTATATTTCATTGATTTTATGTTCTTTATTCTTTGAGAAACCCAGAATCAGTTGGAGTGCCTAGAATCAAAACTGAATAAATAAATAAAATCTACTTGACAAGGTTGTTGTGGAGGGGAGGAATAGAAAAAGGGAATGCTAGATTATGTTATCTTGAGCTTCTAAAAGAAATATGGGATATGAAGCCAAAAATAATTAATAAACTATGATTTGGGACTTAAAATCCTGGATTGAAGTTATATGCTGAATTTCAGCCTTTGAATAGACTCTATTGACAGAATGGAAAGGTGATCAATATGATTCTGTTTGAACAACCCTTAATGTGTTGTTTAAAATACCACATATTTTATGTTTATGATTTCTTGCCATATAAAAAGTGCAGACTGGATTTGTGAGAATCCTGCCCAGTGCAATTCTGAAATTGGAAAAGGGGCTGTTCATGATAAAGAGAGGATCTGGCAATCAATTCTGTTTACCTGACTAAAGATTAACCTTGCCACCACTGGGATGATTTCTCTAATTACAAAGGATAATTAGATGACAAGAAAATTATATCTAATCACTCTATCTCCCAAGTTCCTATTGATTTTGGGTTTCAATAAGGCTTTTCTGTACTGAAACTATTGACTGCCAGCCAGCAAGATAGAAAGTCCAGTAATATGTAGGCTCAGGCAGAAAATATCCAGTGAATATGTAGGCTCAAGCAAAAATTAGTCTTTTTTATTAATATTTTAAGGCAGCAACTATAATGTAATCACAGGGTTGGCTCAGGTTGAGGTAAGGAATCTACTAGACAAGTGACAAATCCAAAAAACAAGACAAAACACAAGGTGAGGTGGAAGCTAGAGTTTTAAGCATGGCATGGCAAGGTAAACATGTTAGAACTGCAGTTTTGGGGGAAAAAACCCTTCAGTATCTGCTCCCAGGGAGTGAGGCCAATAAATCAGGTGTGCTGAGCCTCCATCCAATATATAGTTGTGACAGTTTACTTTTCAGCATTGGTTCTTCTGCAGGCTAGTTTCTTGGCAAGTCTGTCAGATGTGTTGAGTTCTGTCCTCTGTTGTTGAATCTTTATCACAGCACCTTTGTTTGGGACTGGATGCCTGGAATTCTGAGAGGCTGCCAGTGGATGCAAGAATGGTGTCCTAGGGATTTTCTAGAATTCTGTTGGCTTTATAATTAGTAGAAATACACCAAAACACTTGTCCCTAGAAGGCACTGCCCCCCCCTTCCTCCTCATCATAGGACGTGTCCAGGAGAGCTGTAACAAAGGCCAAGGAAATAATTAGGTGATGAATTGCAGAAACAGTTATTAAATGAGCAAAGCCACGTGTTGAAGATATCCCTATCATTGAAGAAAATACAGAGGGTGCAAAATACTGTAGTTGTATTCTGACACACCTACTATAGATAGGTCTTTTTTCAGGACTTGTTTTAATATTCTCCCTTTATCGATCCTGGAGGACAGATTCTAAAATATTCCAGTGTCACAGAGACTGCAGCCATGTGGATAAGGTAGAAATGAAACCATGGAGCATATTTTTTTAAAATGTGTGTTTTATTCTGATTTGCAAGCATAACTACCAGCTATTTTCTTTTAATCTTCCCGGTCATACTGAATAATTTTATGTAAGGAATCCCAAGGTTGCCAATTTTGCCAAGGTTTCTTTTTGTCATAGCCAGAGGTCTCGGACCTCGACGGCGGGGAGTCTAGCTGCTGAAGCTGCAAAGGCACGAGCCGAAGCTGTGGCGGCCAAGGCAACCTTGAGCGTGGCAAAAGAAGAGCAATTGTAGAAAGAAGTAATGGCCAGAGTTCAGGCCAGACAAAAGGAGGAAATGGCCAAAGTTCAGGCCAGACTTGACTATTTGAAGTACGAAAGGAAAAAGAAAAGTAGCACTGGCTGAAGTTTTACAGGCAGAGGCTAACTATGCTTCACTCAACTTCAATCCTGGACAGTTAGAGAAGGAGAACTTGTATGAGCGTGTTAAGGCCTATGTGGAGGACCAGAACTCCCGCAGCAGGGACAAGGAGGAGAACCTCAACCACCGGCTCTACGAACAACTCAGATGGCTGATATCGTAAGATCCAAACCACGAGACTCCTCCTTTGGTAGTGGACAACCTACCCTGACAAACCAAGACATACGGGGCAACCAGAGTACTCCATCGAGCAGGCAGGTACAAAAGCAGCCGCAATACACAACCTCAACGTGGAGGCTAAGGAGTTCCTGCCAAACCTTCCAGGCATTCTGAGTGCAGATGTCCAGCCCAATGGAGGTATTCCATTGCCAATTTTGCTGTTTAGCAAAACAGATACACTGTGAGAAAGTCATCATCATCATGGGACAGATTAATTTTCTGCAGAGATTTAGTAACCTTGCTTACAAAGAGAATTTGTTAAATGTTTTATTAAGTTTTATTAGTTATATTTCTGGTCAACAATTGTTGTAAAGTTTTGATTTGATTCTAAAAAGAAACAATGAAAGCAAAACATATTTTATTCTGAATGCACTATTTTCAAAACTCAATAACTACTTATTCAATGGATATTATAATTGTTATAGCTACTTTATCACTATTAACAATTGTCATTCTATCTCTTTCCTGTTATTCTAAGCACCTACTTTCACTTTTAACTTTACTATAGTTTAGTATAGAAAATATTTTTACTTCTTTATGCTGTTTCCTAGTTTCTATTTGCATATACATCAATGTGCATTTCCCCAACATATTGTTGTGCTTAGCTAGTAAGCCAATGACAAGAATGATGTATTTTACAATTCAATTGGTATCACTAAACTGTTAGTAATTTAATAAGAGTAACTAAAACTAGCCCAAGAAAATGAGATTTTACATTTCATACCTACCTTGCCCCTCTCAAGGGAGGGGTATCTACAAATCTATTATCATTGAAGTGGCAGGAGAACCTAGAACAGAAGTTTGAATGATGACCTTATTGCATGGGCAAATTAACAAAGAGGTAGGCATTACTTGGAATCTACCACATTTTATAAGTAGCATGAAGCATGATTCTTATCTATATGCTACTAAAATTTTACTGTCTGCTTGTCTGTTTGTAACCTTCAGTTAGTATCATAACACAAAAATATTTGAATCAAAGTACCTCAAATCTGCTAACATAAAGAATGGGTACAAAATATGGGATTCCTTACTCATGTGTAATTGAAATTTCAAGGATCTTTACACAGTTGTATTCACAAAGTTCTGGCTGTTGCAGCAACGTCACTGTTAGCCATAGTAATGTAATTGTTATTTCTGACATTCCCTGAAAGCTTCGCACAAAGTCAGTGGGGAAGCTTGCAGAAGTCAGAAGTCACCTCCATCTTCCACTGCTTTTTTGCCCACCCATGGTCATTCTGTTTCTTTAAGTAAGGAATATCTCTGAAGGGATCATCCAACAGATAATGGGTTTTCTAGTTTCATCTAAAGATCAAACTATTAAAAAAATAGAGTTGTCAAGTTTAATGTAATTTTTAATTTATTTATTAAATTTATATGCTGCCCATTTCACTACTAGGACTCCACATATCCAATTCCATACCAAAGGAATATACCTGTTGAATTACAAATAATAATAGCTTGCTTTCTTTTTGCTTTCTTAACATATGAGCCATGGTGGCGCAGTTGTTAGACTGCAGTACCGCAGGATACTTCTGCTGACTGCCGGCTGCCTGCAGTTCGGCAGTTTGATTCTTACCAGCTCAAGGTTGACTTAGCCTTCCATCCTTCCAAGGTCGGTAAAATGAGGACCAGATTGTTGGGGGCAATATGCTGACTGTGTAAACTGCTTAGAGAGGGCTGTAAAGCACTATGAAACGATATATAAGTCTAAGTCTATTAATATAGAAACTGATTTCAGTGTCTGTTGGAAGCATGATTAAGCCTGTATCCAATTGTCCTACTGAGACTGCTTATTTGAGCCACACTATTTCACCATAAAATTTTAGAGGCACTTCCCTTTCTCACCTGGCTATGTCCTAGTCCCCCTCGCCTCTCTGTCCTTTTAAAGGACTTTCATTCTGTGTATAGAGATCTAACTAATTGGTAGACTTGCTGAGAGTTGATGGGGGAAAACTTTGCTTCTTAAATAAAGACACAGCATGAAGCTTAATGAGAAAACGAGGATACTGTGAGGCACTGATTGGTTCATTCTTCAGAGTTGCAAATAAAGATGCCTCTCGAGTTTAGACTAGGCATAGAAAGGTTAGTAGCAATCTGGCTGCTTCATGAACTTGAATTGGTGATACACAAAAATTTGGGTTTGATTTGGTGGATGAAAATGAAACAGTCATTTTCTCCTTTCCCTTTGGTCTTTGTAATCTGCTTTTGCATGGGACAATTCACTTCAGGTAAGAATCATTCTTACTCCATATCTATTAAAGATGTTTGTGTATTGCCCCAACTCTTTGAGTGATTTACTGCACAAATTAAAACCACTTTGTTTGTGGTTTGTATATAGTGTACTTCTTGTTTCTATAAGCTTTACAAGTCAAAGTCCTAAAATGGAATTCTTGTTTTAAGAACTTTACCATAAGAGACATAACTCTTGTGCTGAATAAATAAAATACTGATTTTCTTTGACTCATATTTAATACTTTTAGTGTTTGATTAACAGGCTTTGCATTTCCTTCTTTTCTTTGCACAAATTCAGCGCAAATGAACTTTCATTCTCTGAGCTATCCAAGGTCCTGAATAGAACATGGCAGCCATATCCTTTTCTATGGATAAATTTTTAGATAAAGGTTTTGGTTGAAACAATTCATGAAAATTAATTAATTAAAACCAGATCACAAGTCTTTAAAGTCAATATGCATTCATATGTGAGGATGTATTCCCTTTCTCTTCTTCCTTCTCAGTTACATAATATTGTCTTATTTTTGTATCCCAATTTAAAGGTTTTTGTTCTTTTATAAGTGAAGGTGGGAGTTAATTACAGAATGAACTTTTTAAATGCTAAATTCAAAGTTAAAGTTCTAGGAAAGGAAGTGATATGATTCTCTGATCAGAGGATTTTGTTTGATCTATAATATACAAGTTTTTTCAGGAGTGTATGCATTTTCTTTATGTTAATTGAGATTAAATCAGTCATGTTTTACTATATCAAATGCTTACCTATTATTTCACTTTAACAGGATTTCCTCAGACTTTTGCCAGCTATCTGGATGAATCAAACGTTCCTAAAAATGAGGTACATAATATTTAATATATTTTCCATGTCTCTGCCAGAAAAATAGAAATAATAGTACATCCCTAGAAAATACAAAATCTACTGCAGTTAGAGAAGAAAGGCCAAATACAGTAGTGCTTGCTGTATGCAAATGCATGTAAATTAATGAATTGTTATAGGAGCAAAATATACAAATATGGACTGCATATGAACTAATGTTAGAACTTGTAAATATCATAATCTTTTGCACAAGTTTTTAATTAGATTAGAAGTTTCTCTTTCTCCTTCTTTTGCTCTAGAGGCTGGCACTATGTTTCAGTCAGTGGACAGAACTCTTTGAACAATCTCAGGTAAAATGTGTAATTAGTTTAGAAGTATAGAGTAATCATCAATGTAAATACATTCAAAAATGTGTACATATTCACCCATATACTATTAATTTTATTTTTCTAAAAACCTCTTTCAAGCAAATAATTCATGTATATTATTTGTCCTTTTCTAATACTGAAACTTAAGCACTTGTTTTTTCTTAAGCAATTTTCAGAAAAATTGCTGTATTTCACAACCTATCCATACACATATTAGTTCATATTAACTAACTACACGTTCCAACCTATCTACCATTTGGATATGGGTATATCTAATCAACTAATATTGTTGGAACCACAACTCCACATAAAAGAAACAGTGTGAAAATAACACAACATAAGGAATAATCTAACATTTAATCTTAGTATCTGATTTTGTGAGTATAAAAAGTAATTTTATATTTAAAAATATTTATTAAAAGTTATTGATTTACTTTCAACTCTTCTTTGACTGTCTTTGGCTACTTTATAGATCATACATCTGTAAAGTGATCTATTGTAAACCTTTATATTCTGGTAGTATATGTTTTAACATTCCAGTCTATTTTTATAGTGATCATGCCACAGGTAAGAGACGAATAATTAATGTGTTTCACATTTTAAACTGTTGCTTCATAAAACATTTTTATAATGTTATGTTCATAACTGATGCAATAAAGTATAGAAAATGGCAAATATTTACTAATAAGCAGTTGTGGGAATTATCAAAAATAATATAAATGTTTTGTATTTTACTATGCTTATTAATATATTAATTTAACACTGATATCACTAAAATTAGTTTAAAAGTTCTTTGTATTTTTTTTTAAAAAAGCTTACATCTATAATAATATATCATGGTCATCCTGAAGAACTCTCCCTTTGATCAGTTTGGACAATAATTCTCAAAATTTCTAACTCTCATGGATGGATGATAATATTTCAGGGAAAATTGAGGTCAAATAATATCAACAGCAGAATTATTTTTGAAATACATTTTCCCTCCAGATTTCCAGTGCATTTTTGGATTTTTGTAACTCCATCTTTGACAGCCTGCAGATAGATGAGGTAAGGTGATTGTTCTCCTTGCAAATGGTACCACAATATTTTGTTGTAATAGTTATTATTAATCTAATATGTTCATCATTGTCCTTCTTAGGAAAATAATCAGGAATTGTATAAAAGAGTGAGTATTAATTTTTTAAAATAGAATTGATATGCAAAATATTTTAATTGAAACACTATAAGATACTAACATAGCTCTTTTTATGCAGTTTTTATTTCACTACTCTAGAGCTCAAGACCCAACATATCCACTTAAAACTGGGGTTAGTACTTTAAAATATTCATTTGTTATACGTTTTTAACATACAAAAGAGTAGACAAAGGTATGTAAAATAACATACCTCTTCAGTGTATTTATAACTTCTTTAAGCAGCATGTCAGTAAAGTAAAATGAAAAGGATCTTCCATGGATATTTTCAAAGAGGGGCCAAATAATGCATTTTTCATTATTTTGATGAACTCTTGGTATGCTGCAGATGCTTGATGTCTTCTGTAATTTATATTCTAATTTCAAGATTTAAAAAAAGTCAAAGGATTAGTTTCATGAGCCAAATGGACTACAAACAATGACGTAAATTTCTGTTTATCAAAAGCTTTCGGTAATATAATATGCAAAATACAGTCCCTTGGACCCTGTTCAAAAAGTTATTTAGATTCTCCTTCCTGATGATTCATAATTGTATCTACATATATTCAGTATTATCAGTCACTACTTATATCATTAATATCTGTCAATAATAAAAAGAATAATTTGGCTAGTACAGTGATTACTGTGCTCATGACAAAACAAGCAATAGACACTGACCTTATGTAAGTTTTCAAGTGGTTCAGCTAAAGGCAGAGAGCAAATGTAGGTTATATAGATAGAAACATAGCATAAACAAGACATCCAGAGTTGAAGTACCATAATATGCAGCTTCATCCTCAGGTGGGCTCAGATTTATCTGCATGCAACTCTTGTCCCCAGTCAGTATGTCTGTTTCAGACCTCTAAAAGGCTCCAATTTATGGATGGTTACATTAGAAATATTGATGCATCAAACCAGTTAGCTGGTATCTAGATTTTAGATATTACTTATTCTAATATTCTAACATCTAAAGTAGCATTCACAATATCTTTTTGTTATAGTCATTCCCTCTACATCCTTTAATGAGCCTTGCTCCAAAGCTCTCGGACAGAAGAAAGAAAAGATTCCTTAATCCGGTATGCATTCAGATATTCCATATTACTTTGCGTCTTTTAATTTACATTTTAATCTTTTTAAAGTCATTGTGTCAAGTGATCAGCTTGTGAGCAATTACTAAAGAAAAATACTATTCCCCTTCCCTTCTTTTCTCCAATATTTTTCTTTCTTTCTATATTCCATCCTTTCTATCTTATGCAGTCTTTCTCACTTTGCTGTTTATTTAAATTCAGTCACAACAATAAATGTTGTACCTGTTATGAATAGTGGCCAACTCTTAATACTCTTCACAGTTAAGGCTTCAAATCCAAATATTGTCCATATTCTATTCTGTTTGTTGGCACAGGAGCATAATACCCTGTATTATTGTGATATGATGGAGTACTTGTCTAAAGTAAATTGTAATAATTATAAACTGGCAACCAGTTCAATAAATAAAAATGATTAATTATAACTTGTGACTGGATTAAAATTCAGTAAATAATAAAAAGAGGGAGAAAGGGCAAAAGTCCTAGCACAAATAAAAAAATATAAGATATGACTGCTATTGAGGTTTCTATTATGTTCAGAGCAAAGGGACGCAGTGGTTCAGTGACTAAGATGCTGAGCTTGTCGATAGAAAGGTCGGCAGTTCAGCGGTTTGAATCTTTAGTGCTGCGTAATGGGGTGAGCTCCCGTTACTTGTTCCAGCTTCTGCCAACCTAGCAATTCGAAAGCACGTAAAAAATGCAAGTAGAAAAATAGGGACCACCTTTGGTGGGAAGGTAACAGCGTTCTGTGCACCTTTGGCATTTAGTCATGCTCCATGACCGCAGAGACATCTTCGGACAGTGCTGGCTCTTCGGCTTTGAAACGGAGATGAGCACCGTCCCCTAGATTCAGGAATTACTAGCACATATGTGCGAGGGAAACCTTTACCTTTTACCTTTTATTATGTTCAGGGGCATGTCTGTGTTATTTTGGTTTAAGCGGCCAAAGCATGTTTTCTGTCTGTAACATGGACAAAAAATTATTTACAATAAATTAAAGATGTTTATTATTCTTACTCTGTTTCAAACATTGCCTTTTTTTTTGGCTTTTTGAATGCTCTGTTTAATATAGTACAATGGAACAATCTACCAACAACTATTAACAGGATACAAATTGAAGGCATTTAGCTAATGAAATTCACATGCGTTCTCTCCTGCAGGAATTGCAGTTTGCTGCAGCAGAATTCATGAAAAAGGTAATGTTAAAATGCAGTCATTGTTATATATGAATATTATTGCCAATTCCCATACCTTTTGATGGGGATTTGGATTGATTGATCACAATCAGCAAATTAAAGATACAGATGCCAGGAACCACGTTTTGTATTGCATGTGTGAGACCTCTGAATCTTATACCATCTATTATATTTCACAACCCATTGTTGTGTCTGCATATACTATGGCCTTGGGCTATTGGATGAAGACTTACAGCTCTAAAATGTTTGTTACCACCTCTACCTTCTCTGAAGAATTTGTTATTTTTAATGTCAGAGGGAAAAATATTAGCTAAATAGGGAGCAATTATATTAAATATTAATTTAGTTTTTGTTCTCATTCTATGTATATATACCTGTGGGTATACATTTATATTATTTACTAGCTGTACCCGGCCACGCGTTGCTGTGGCCCAGTCTTGTGGGTATAAATATTTTTTGACCGAGTGCCAATAATGTCCTTCTGTAGCTCAGGTCACACCTACTTTGCCTCCGTCCCACCAGTCTTTTCACTCGGTCGATTGGATTCAGACCTGAGTTGCCTTTCTCTACGTTTCTTTTTGGACTTTACCATCGCTTAATCAATTGCTTTCTTGGACTTTTACCTATTTGGTGCTTGTATTGGGAGAGCTGCGCATCGTGGGATTGGCAGAGGCCTCCGTTCAGGCTGCCGTCGGTAAGTTTGCGTTCCTGGGGCTCCGGAGGTTTGTCTTCGGACGCCTCCGAGGATACTTTGCTGCGGGTGTAAGAGCTGGTTTCCCGGCTTGCCGGTATAACCGCCTTCACCTTCACAGCTCTCCGCACCACAGGTGGCATCGGGGTCCCTGCCAAAGGTACGGCATACTCCGTTAGTTGGGACAATGTTTTGCAGCAGTTGACATTTCCCGCCATTTTGCTTGTGGGTTTGGCGGCGGCGGCGCTGAGGGGAAAAGATCCGGCTCGCGCCTGCCATTGCAGTGCTGCGGCGTTAAAGTCCAAAAAGAAACGTAGAGAAAGGCAACTCAGGTCTGAATCCAATCGACCGAGTGAAAAGACTGGTGGGACAGATGCAAAGTAGGCGTGACCTGAGCTACAGAGGGATACAGCACAGCTCAATTCCATTTAACAATGAAATTTCAATTTAACAATGCAATTGGAAACATTGAAATGGAATCGTAAAATTGGAAATTTGGAAATCGGAAACATTGAAATGGAAGCGTAAAATATTTAGTATAGCGTGTGTTGCTTTTACCTCCAGCAGCTGGCGCTGTTTTTCAAGAAAGCATGTTTTTACCTGTCACAGGTGTCACATCTATATAATATAGGTATATAAAAACATGTGCATATTCAAATGCAACGTTGTGTCAAAATTTCAAAGCAATCAGTGAAGAACTTACGATTTTGAACAAACGAACATTTACATTTTTATTTATATAGATTAATTAATTAATCCAATCATATAGCCAACAATCTCACCAAAAATGACTCTGAATGGCACACAACAGATAAAAACCACAAATATAAAAATAACAGATGTAAAAAAATGAAATCTACATTAAGAAATAAATAGTATAAAAACAAATATTTAAAACCCCAAGCCAAGAGAAGTTAAAGCAAAATCTATAGCTGCAAATGTCCCATTCTTAACATAACCAGACCAGGTCTTGAGGGCCTTCTGGAATATCAAAAGAGAGCTAATCTAATTTCGGAGGGAAGAATATTCAATTAATGTGAACACCATGGCACATCTCCTGTGACCCACAAAATGTAAATCCCTAGCTGATGGTAGCTGCATCATGCTTTCTCTGATTGTTCTAATAAGAGAAGCTGAAGTAACTGGGGAGGGGCAAGTCTGTCAGATAGCCCAGTCCATGCCATGAAGGGCTTTAAAGGTTAAAACAAGCACCCTGAATAGGACCTGAAACCAAACTGGCAACCAATACAATGTGATATGCACTGTTCTATGAGCACACAGAACTGTGACTACTGTGAAGCTATGAATTCCTGAGCCACCTCATAGTCCATTCCTTGGGAACGCAGATTAAAGTCCCCCAGAATCATAAATCTGAGGAATTCCACTGCCAATCCAGAAGTAGAGTCAAAGAGCTCAGATAGGGAAGTTGCTATGCAGCTGGGAGGTTGGTACAACAGCAACAATGCCAATTGATTCCCAGAGCCCAGCTTAAAGAATGGGAGCTCACAACCAGGGACCTGTGGGGCAGGACCTCTGAAAGCCATAAGAAAATCCCTAATGGCAATCACTGCAGCCATCTGGGCAAATTGCAGAAAGGGCATCTCATTCTGGAAAGAGAGAGGGGGAGAGGGAGGGGGAGCGGGAGGGAGGGAGAGAGAGAGAGATTATTTACAACTTCATGCTTCTGTCACACAGTAGAACTGTTTGAGAACTGTTCACTTACATTGAGTTTTGAAGTATTTTATTAAATCTCTCTTATTTATTTTACAGGATGGTTTGGATGATTTAGGACGATCCTTTTTTCTTTTCAGGGTATTAATTTTTCTGTTTCCTTGTAAGAAGAAACTTCATTTTCATTTACAGCCATTTTGTTATAAAAAAGAAATGGAGACCATATTTATAGGTTATAACAAATTATATAAACCCTATACAAATGAATTTCTGTTCCCCAAAATTAAAAAGCTAAGATATTATACTAATTAAAAGCTTGATGAGGAATAAAATAGCCTAGTCAAGAAAACCAATTAAATATTTCTGCACATAACAGCAAAATATAATTATGCTTAGTAGTGTCTCCTTTGAAATTGACGGAGGAAAAAGCCAAAACAAGCTATTACATTGTACTAGTTGAATCATAATATGGCACTCTCATTATTTCAGTGGAATAAATGATGTTGAAGTGGGCAGGAAGTATGAAATAGGATGGGGAAGGAGGGATTAATTGAAACATTGGCCCATCTTTCTTACTAATTTGGCAGTTTAATTCTCATTGGCTCAAGATTGACTCAGCCTTCCATCGTTCCAAGGTTGGTAAAATGAGGACCCAAATTGTTGGGGGCAATATGCTGACTCTAAACTGCTTAGAGAGGCTGTAAAGCAACTGTGAAGTGGTATATAAGTCTAAGTGTTATGATATTGCTAATTACTTAGTTCCTAATTTTATTGCAAACTTAGTACAAAGGGTTTTTTTCACTGGTATCTCATAAGGAATACTATCAAGCACCATCTTATTATTCATTTTCAGCCTCGAAATGGAAGAACTGTTGATATAGAAGACAAATAGGCTACTAGAAGGTGATTTTTATTTATGTATAAGAATAGTATTTCTTTATTCATAGAGTAACATACTTTCTGTCCTTGGAAATATTGTCATATGATGCAGTTTGGAACAAATTGTTATGTGTTTATTTCATCCTTGTAGCATTTTCATGGGCCGTTGTATTTGTCCTGCATGAATCATTTTTAACAGCATCATCTGTAGGATCTATATGTTCATACATATTAAGGCCATTCCTTAATTCATGTTGCTTATGTCTGTTTTATTCATCAGGAAGAGCTGTAGGCACTGCTATGCTTCTCTTTGTTTTAGATAACAATGCAACATGCTGCCTTTGTTACACTTCACAACATTCATTCATTCATTCATTCATTCATTCATTCATTCATTCATTCATTCATTCATTCCTCAACAGATAATTCTATATCCATAATCATTTATGTGAGTTGACATTTTGTAATGCGTACTTACTACTGAGTAGCTTTAGTCTGTAGAAAGCAAGGTTTCTAAAACCTCCTATGCCATATTGTAGCTACGAACGCTACATGGAGATGTTATCAGATCATCAGAAGTTGAGCTCCATTTGAAGGAAGCCCTAATTAATTTATTGGTGTTAATTATTTTTTTTCTTCCTAAAACTAATCGTTGGAAATATGGACCGTTTTCAAAAGCAACATAGGTTGACTCTGGCCCAAAGTGGATATAATTTAGGAGTTCTCAATCCATCCTTTATTAGAGATTACTTGTTTGAGCTATAAATTACTTCACATAAAGTATTTATGCCTGGTATATATTAATCCTTATTTTTGTAGTAATGTATCTACTAGAACTGTCATAAAATTAAAGGACTGAACCACTGGTCTCAATCCAAAATAACATTAAGAAATAATATGGTTTGGTTTCAGCTTAGCTTTATGACTCCCAGGCTGATCTCTCCTTCATATGCATGGCACAATCTTGGTATACAAATTAATATTTCATCAGAGATTCCCATAGTAAATAATGGTACTTTTGGATATGAAAGTGTGTTTGCATCATATTTTAAGTGCTTATAGTCCTCTAAAGACTGAACATATTTTAAAATGTAATTTTTTTTCAGATTTCTACAGAAGATATATCCAAGTTTGGCTGACTTGCTCCATTACTTTCTATTATGAAAACAGATGTATGTCTATGAATATTAAGAGAGATTGTTCTGTATCATGTGAAGTCACATACAATAAAATTGCAGCTATTTATTTTGTTTGAAAAATGTGTGTGAGTGCTCAAAGAAAAATCTTTACAGCTTCTCTTCATTTCCAAATTAATTATAAAGATTTGCATATGACCTATTCAACAAATTACTCAGAACTAAAAATCAAGTTTACAGTTGGTTAACCCGAATAATATGAAATTTAGAAGATAAAAGTGGATATTCGCTGTGTTACAATCCAATTTATCATGCTTGTTCCATTTTAAGTTCTAATTCAATGGCAAAAGCTATCACATTAAAGTAATGAGATTGCTTAAAAGGAAATTTTCATTCTTCTTCAAAGACATTAATTTAGATTGCACAAAAATGCTATTGAATACAAAATAATTACATAGTTCCTTTTTTAATGCAGTCTGTAGATACATACAAGGTGCTTCAGAGCAGATGGGCATGCAAACCTCCTAAATATATGTTAGAATTGTTTGGCTAGAGGTTTAGCTCTTTCTCTCCTCCTGAGGAAATAGATTACTCTAAAAAGAAATAAAGAAAACCAAGCATTTAGGGACATACAGGTAGATAAATCAGGGAAAGATTAAAGCCTGAAAAATTACAAACATATGCTGCTTAGGCTTTAACTGGAAGGGACCTTGGAGGTCTTCTAGTCCAGCCTCCTGCTAAAGCAGGAGAACCTATACCATTTCATCTAAATGACTGTCTAGACCAGGGATGTCAAACTCGTGGCCTGCAGGGGTCATGCGCTGGTCATGCCCATCCTGTTTAGCGAAGGGGAAAAAAGTCACGGGACAACAACATGATGACGCGAGTTTGACACCCCTGGTCCATATTCTTTTTAAAAACATCGTGATTTCTGGAGGCAAGCTATTCCACTGGTTAATTGTCCTCACTGTTAGGAAGTTTCTCCTTAATTTCAGGTTGCTTCTTTTTTTGATTAGTTTCCAACCAGTTTCTTGTCCTGCCCTCTAGTGCTTTGGAGAATAATTTGACCCCCTCTTCTTTGTGGCAGCCCCTCAAATACTGGAATACTGCTATCATGTCACCCCTAATTCTTCTTTTCTTTACTAGCCAACCCAAATCCTGCAGCCATTCTTCATATGTTTTAAGCTGACCACATGATGTTGCACATTTGCTATAAATGAATATTTTTTCTTGTAAGACAAGATGTTGAAATATGATATTGCAGACTCTGCCAAATTTTATATATATAAGTAGTGTCTGTCTGCCTAGTTTGAAATAATGCAGAGCTGGGACTACATACAGTAGAATAATGAGATTGGAACGGATCTTGGAGATCTTCTAGTCTAATCCTCTGCTCCAGCAGGAGATCCTATTATTCTGGATAAATGGTTGTCCAGTCTCTTGTTGAAAAGCTTCAGTGATGGAGCACCCACAACTTCCAGAGGCAAGCTGTTCCATTGATTAATTGTTCTCACTGCCAGGAAATTTCTTTTCACTTCTAAGTTGGACCATTTTTTAATGATCTTCCACGCTTTACTTCAAAGTACATTTTGTATAGTACAGAGAAATAAGATAGACTTTGAGGAAAACAAAGTTCATATTTAACACAACATTCTTATATAAGTATGTTTACCTATCTTTTCAGATGTAACTGATTCCTGAAAATATTCCCTCTGCCTCAGAGTGAAGTTCCCTCAGAGTGAACTTCCTGGAATCTCCAGGATGAGGGAAGATGGGGAATCTTCCCTCATCCTGGAGATTCCAGGAAGTTCACTCTGAGGCCATTAAATATAGGTAGTCCTCGACCTATGACAACAATTGAGCCCAACATTTATGTTGCTAAGTGAAACATTTGTTAAATGAGTTTTGCCCCATTTTATGACCTTTCTTGCCACATTTGTTAAGTGAATCATTGCAGTTGTTCAGTTAGTAACACAGTTGTTAAGTGATTTTGGCTTCCCCATTGACTTTGCTTGTCAGAAGATTATAAAAAGTGATCACAAAACCTTAAGACACTGCAACCGTCATGAATCAGTTGCCAAACTTCTGAATTTTAATGGTGACCAAGTGGATGCTGCAACAGTCATAAGTGTAGAAAATGGTCATGTCACTTTTTTCAGTGCCATTGTAACTTTGAACAGTCACTAAATGAACTCTTGTATCTTGAGGTCTACGTGTAGACGGAACTTCAACCTTTTTTTCAGTCTTGTGTGGCTGCAGGCTGATATTGACAACAAGGTGACGTGTTTAAATTTCAATGGCTGGAAAAAGTATTCTGTTTAAAGTGCATTTGGCTAGGAAGTACAATTTTAGGTTAATCAAAGAACAACATTTTTTTAAAAAATACTAAAAATGAAAAATAAAATTTAGCACGAGTATCAAATGTTTATTAGTTTCTACTAATAGGTCACAAAAAGTTTTGGAAGTTCCAGAATTTACTTGCAAGAAACGTCAAGCTAGGTAAGCCATACCCTGAATATACAATGCATAGATTTCAAAGGCAAATGCTTCTAATGCAATCCTAACCACTTAACAAAATAGGAATGCAAGTTATAGGTGATAAAACCAAACTCAATTAATTTTATATCTCTCCCCACTATATACACTGAAGTTGTATAGATGTACATACAGCTGTTTCAACTCCTTCTCTTAGGATGGCGCTATAGGGCATTGTATGCCAAGATTAGACATGGACAGTTTCTTCCCTCATGCCATCACTGCTAAATACCTAATTCTTGCAGCTGACAAAATACAGTGGCTATTAAGTTTTTGGTCTAATGTATATGCAATATTAACACATAGGGTGTGGCTGCAGTATTATTTATTTCTTTTATTGCTTGTATTATATTTCTTGTATTATATTCTGTTGTTTTGCAAGTATACTGAATGCTTCTGTATCAGAGACAAATTCTTTGTGTGTCTAACCACACTTGGCCAAATAAATAAAGTATAAAGTAAAGTTTAAACCTTAAATACTATATATTTTGGAACAACTATATGTCATTGGAGTGAACTCACATGGTTAAAAATTGTATTAGGAATCTAACATATTTATACTAGAATTAATTTCCAAACTATGACAACTGTGCCATCAAATGTTACTTGTTCATTAATATTCTGAAAGCACTCAATATCTATAGAATACATTTACACAGTTACCATCAACCCAACGTTGCTAAAATAATTTGAGGAAGATCAAGCAATTATGAGATGCTTCCATTTACTTTTAATACCTGATTCAACATTCATCTCTTCACTTCTGCATGTTTGCTCATAGACTGATAGATGCAGCTAATTCTAGCTCAATGACGGATCTGGAAGTAGGAAACTGCTTTATTTTGTCAAAGTTCACTTAGTACCAAGCCATGGTTTGTTTTTAAAAAATACAGGATGGACTCATACAACAAACTTAACCAGAACCAAGCAAACCACATTATGGATTAGCACAATTTGAAATTATTAATCCATCTAGACCAGCATTGTTGATAACTTATCAATGGGTCCCAGAGATCCAACTTGGGAGCTTTGCTACAAAAAGCATGTTCTCTGCTTTTGAGTTATAAACCTTTTTGGACACATTTATGTATCTCAAATGCAAGTGAGATACATTTTTAATTATGAAATCATTACATAAAGGGTTTGTATTAGATGAAACCAACAGTCAAAAAGAATTTTTATCAATTCAATGACAAACACGTCTGAGGTGAGGAACTCATCTAAAGATACATGACGTAGAAGCTAACTAGTTCCCAACATCATAAAATTAAGACTATGAATGCAAGAATGTAATTCAGTTCTATTTCACAATCATAATCTTTAATGCAAGTAAATAAATTTAAAGTGATGATCTGGAGGCAACATTTTGATGAATATCAAAATGGTTTTGCCAATACCATTTTACTTACTGTTGAAAAAACAGGAAAAAACCACTTAAGTTGTGAGTTTGAAGAATTACATATCTGAAGAGTGTCAACCTGAGGATAGCCAGGTTAACATAAGACATCATCTATGCTTTCTGCAACAAGATTCCCACAACACTATAAATGATGATCACTAATATTTAGTCTATGGAAATAGAAAGGTATGTGCCACTAGTTCTCTGCCCCATTCAGGAGTAAAAGCCATTTATATTAGAGCTAGGTGGACATTGTTCCTCTTTTGAGGACTGTGTGCCCTATATATAATTGGGGGATAACCAGTGGAAACTGCTACAAACGGAACCAATTTCCAGTCTTTTCCTTTTAGCAGAGTCTGTTCTTGCAAGATAAAATGTAGAATGTTTCAGAATTCCTGGGACTGACCATCCTCTTTGGCTTCTTTAAACTGTGCTGTTTTCTTAGGAAGAAGTGGGGCTTGGATGTTGGGGAGAACTCCTCCTTCAGGAATTGTCACATTTGTAAACAACTTGTTCAACTCTTCATCATTCCTTATTGCCAGCTGGATATGGCGTGGACCAATCCGCTGCTTCTTGTTCTGATGAGCAGCATTCCCAGATAATTCCATGACCTCTGCAGTCAGATATTCCAAGACTGCAGCCAGGTACACTGAGGCTCCTGGACTTATTCTTTCGGCATAATGACCCTGTCTTAGGTACCGCTGAATTCGGGACACAGAAAACTGCAAGCCGGATTTTTTTGACTTGGTCATTCTAGCAGGCAATGCAGGCTTTGGATGTTTCTTACCACGCCCAGACATTCTGGTCCTATAAATAAAGACAACTTTTTATTACTTCAATTCAATTTAACAGAGCCTAATAAGACTATTTTGCTAACAAGCACTAGGCATTAAACATGAATACAAGTAAGAATACAACTCCTGTTACCATATTCCTATAAAAAACTGTTAAAAGAGTATTTTTTAAATAGTACTCTCCTCTTTCCATTGAAAGATAATCAAGGTAAATGGAACAGCTTTGCTACTGATGTTATCAAGTTCAGTCAGTTTGGAAAAACCTGGCAAATATTTTCAGAATAACATTAAAGACATCAACTGCAGTATAACAGAATAAATGATTAAGATTTAATTAACTCAGCAACTACAATATAATTTTACAGTGGAACCATTACATATTCTAGGAATATGCTTTGTAGCTACTTCTGTATAAAACTATGAAATCTCTTGGTTCATCATCATTATCAACATCACAGTTTGTTACTTTGTTTGATATTGGCTGTGTGTGTATTCTCAGTGGATTGTATTTAATTATGGTTTATTGAATAAACCACCATTTAGCACAATGTATTAAATGGGATACTAAAAACCAGGTTTATTTATATAGATATAAAATATTAGATGTTTATTACTTAAGTCTGCTAATTAGATAACTGCTACAGAACAGGTTAAATGTTTCTGGCCAATATTGCAACATTTTTAATAAAACAGCTAGTTCTATTTTTTAAAAAATTCAACATTCTCTATAATATAAAGCTAACTATATGTTCTTATTTTATCAGATAATATCAAGAAAGCCAAAACCAAAGTTAGTATTTATAACTTTAAAAACCCCTCCAAAATTACTTACCGCTTATGTTACTCTCTAGTGTCTTTATACAGCCAAATACTTCCTTCTTGCTTGAGGCAAATACTGCCTCTTTTTAAACATCTCTATTTATAATTAGTGTGGCTTTAAGCAGCTGCATCTACTTCACTATTAATACTAATTTTAATTGTGCTGATTTTTCCTTGGCAACAAAACTACAATCCCGTCTTACAATAGAAAACTTCTTATGGTCAGCAGGATGTTTACTACAATTATTTTATCTTTTGAAAATTAATTTCTAGATTAAAGCTGAATTTACACAATACACTAAACTACAAATTTAACAAACTCATTTTAGCTTAACATGAATGCAAACTAATATATATGTTTTCATGCTTAGTAAATTATGCAAATCCAGAAAACTGAATTCATTGGGAACCTATGGATAAGTGTGCTTTCCAAATCTGTAATTTAATATTAAGAATATAGAAACTATCTCTCCTTTCATGAACAGGGGAAATTTATTCCTTAACAAGGCAATTTTGAGTCATTTATTGCTAATATGGTACCTAGTGTCATAAGGTACCTTTCCATTAAGACTTCATTTTCTCTTAGGTGGTGGGAGGAGAACATAAGCTAAGAGCAGACACAAACAAGATCTTAGCCAAAAGATCAATATACAGTAAAGGTTTACTTAAGTATCAGTATTATTTAATTCATACTTGTAAATCCCCAATTTCAATGAGACTCATTCCCTGTTTATTTTATTGACTTCTGAGTAGATGGAAGTTTTTGGCTGATCTTGCAGAGGTATCAGAATTTCCTGAATTACATCCCAAGGAATTCTGAGAGTTGAAGTCCATAGATCTTCAAGTTGCCATCTTCAAGCCTGAGAAATACAATGCTAAATTGAACCACCCATGGTATGTAAACATCCAGAAAACTCTGGTCATCGGGAGGCCTGGAATTTTGCAGCCCAGGTCTGCTAGCCTTAGGTTTTCCACATTAGAAGATAAGCAAGCTTTGGATATTGGAAGTTAAAAAACCCCACTTCCTGAAAGAAAATAATGGTTCTGCTGCTAAAACAAGCATCTGGAGGCTCCCACATAGTTTCCAGAAAGCAAGACATATTTCTTGTGCTGAATTAATTGCTTGGATTAGCATAGTATGCTAAACACCCAGGTCATTCATTAGCCACTCTCCTCCATTCTCAAGGCCTTTACTTAATAGGAAAAATCTTTGAATTTACTATTTACTGGATGTTTTATTTCTAATTCTTTCTAATCCTTGAAACCCATTTTGGAAAATTACCTTCAAAACCACAATATAATTTATAATAAATAAGTCAAATTTAGGGGCTGAGTTTGTTTGCTTGCAGACATGTCGTTACCCAATTAGGTGCTAATGTTCACTGATGTTACTTGATGTCAGATTATGAAACGCCTGCAAGCAACTAACCAAGTTTAAAAATCATAGTTCTACCCTGAGCTACATATATTCTCTTGTAACGGGTTGATATTTCTGTTGATACGTATTTTATTTTGCATTTATTTTTTACTGTATTTATATATATATATATATAGATGGACCAAAACGGCGGTGTTCTTGCTAAACAAAAAATCAACATATAATTAAGAATAAAATAAAAAACGCCTGGGTGTAGCTGGCACAATACACATTAGTGACAGTCAGTAACTAGCCAAGCCTTCTTGTGTCTCAAAAAAGAAAAAGTCGAGCTGCAAGAGAACTGTGTCTACGATTTATCAATCCATGTCATTGTTGAGCACAAGCACGCTAAGAAAAAGTGTGGACATTAAACTTAATTTCTCGCCTATCATTTAATGCAGAGGTCTTCAAACCTGGCAGCTTTAAGACTTGCAAACTTCAACTCCCAGAATTCTAGGAGTTGAAGTCCACAAATCTTAAAGCTGCTAAGTTTGAAGACCTCTGATTTAGTGCCTCATAAAAGCAGCTCCTCCGACTGCAAAGCCACCCCCACCCCCCTTCTGCATAGCAGCACAAACACTGCCGGGTACTTCATCGTCCAGGCCAGGGGAAAAAAATGCCCGGATCAAGCCTAATAAGGAGAGACGTCAGGACGGACAGTGGGCGGGTTAGTAGCGAGTGTGCAACGCCCGCTTGGGTTCCTCCCACTGATCCGCCGGGACGCGCGTGGGGTTCTCGGCTCGATTCGCCGTCATCTGGGCCTTTTAGCGGCGGCAACAGCAGCAAAACCTCCCCTCCAAAATGCAGGTTAGCCAAATTAGGCCGGCTTTTCCCCAAGAAGAGGACAGTCTCGCGTGCCTGCCTAATAGGGGCGGGATTTCAAAGGGTTAGCCGCCGGGGAGGTGAGAATCCGGAAGAATGGCTTGATGAAGGTGGATAGAAATCTTCATGGGTGGGTCGACGCAGCCTTGTATTTCTCAGGTTTGGCAGCCTGGAGACAGGTGGACTTCAACTCTCAGAATTCTGGGAATTGAAGTCCACATGTTTACAAATTGCCAAGCTTGAGAAACACCGGAGTAAGCTACACGTGGTGGTGACTCTTCTGCCTATGTTTCTTTTCGTTTGCTGAATGTTCGTTCAGCGCATGCTCCGAGACCGCTTTTTTGTGGATTGATTGATTGATTGATTTGTCAAGCATGTATAAGGTAACAGGTAAGAGTATAAACATAATTTGAATACATGAAAAGAGTAAGAGTAAAAAGGAACATTAGGACAGGGACAGTAGGCACGTCGGTGCGCTTATGCACGCCCCTATGCATGCATATGTACACTATGGATGAGTGTACAGAAGTTGGAAGTATTTTTTAAGAGTGTGAAAGCACTGATGATGTTACCTAGTGTGGGTTAATGAAACGTCTGCAAGCAACCAAACAAGCTCAGAGGGCACCAAGGTCCTCTCATTTCAACTTGAGTTACAAACACTCTCCTTTATAAGTGTATATTCTTAGGACTCTCCTAAATTCTTGCAATAATTACTCCTGTGTTGGGAGGAGTAGAAAGAATAAAGTCTGGTTTTGTTTTCGTTGAACTGCCTTCCTGTTGTACATGATAGGGACAGTGGTGGGATTCAAGTAAATGTTCCAAAGGGCAGGCACAATGGCAGAGATCTCCTGGATCCCACCAGCTGGCTGATGCGGCTCACAGCATGCCTTATCTGCTGATGTGGGTGGGGTGGGCCAATCCCAGTGACATGAGATGGGCCTTCAAGTAGCCTTCAAGTAGTAGCCAATATAACCTTCTTCCAGGCTCCCTGTCACACATTGCCATGGAACAACTGCAAAATATTATTGGCTGGTTACCTAATGGTTCAGATGACTGTGATGCAATGAACTAGAACCATGTAATGTTCTCTCTTATCCCTTGTAGCACAAGAAGAGAGGCAATGTCTGCATTGTGTCTTTCTGCTTCCCCAGTCCCAGGTCTTTTTCATGCCATGAAGCTTTAACAATTGGGTCAAAGATCCAAATTTTTGCACCATATGGAGCACTTTTTGCAGTAAAGGACACTCCCCCCCAAACCCTCACTTTTGACAAAGAGAATCAATCTTTCACCTGCCCGTAGAAAATATTTATACTGTTCAAAAATGGCTTCTAATTTGTATTTTGAAGTTTTATACATAAAAAGATATAGGTAACTTGCAGAAACAATCTTTTGTTAGTCAAACATGACTCTTGGTGCAAAATGAGAGAGTTGATGCTTCCGTTACAAGTACTGGTAATTCTGTACTTAGTGGGAAGTAATGTGTTAAAGAAAGGTTTGTACTCTTTTGAGTTATATTTGTGCCCACAAACAGACTGGTTGGCTTCACTCAGTGCACCGTTTCTTTCAAAATGATAAACTTGAACCCACTCTATTTGGCTGAGCATTACAAGCAGATTAGTTCATTACATTTAATCAAGACAAATACTGACTTAACACTTTATTTGCCTGCATAATAAAACTTGGGAAGGAAATTGGAAGGAAGCATGAGGCCTTTCAGCAAAGTGCTGTTTAGCCATTTAGAGGTTGGGTTTTTTCACATTTTTATCGGTTTATCAAAATATAAAATGCAAAGTAAAATAGAAAACTAGAGACAAAAGGGAAGGAAAGAAAATATAGGGTAGAGAAGGAAAAAGAAAGAAAAAGGCATTGATTTCCAACACTCTAGCACAGTAGAAGATAATAACATTAAAATCTTAACTTTTTACTTTTACATAATAGTATATACTAGCCATTTCTATAGCAATAAATTATCTAATCAGCAAAAACAAAATCAAAGTTTTATTTTTTCCCATTGCATGTACAATATTCAGAAGCAATTTCCAAATAGAAAATTAAATATATTCTCTTCTTTGGATGAAGGAATCAATTTAACCATCTCTGGTTTTCCATGCAGAGATTGTGAGCAGCTCTCTTGGAGAGATGGACAGACATTTGAGTTTATTCTTGCATCTGTAATATCTCATCCCAGCATCTTTCGTTATGATAATACACTTGATTATAGTTGAAAATCCAAGAAAGGTTTATTTAATGTCAATTCTTAAAAGCCAAAGTACATCTCTTCTTGTTACGTAAAAGGATGTCCCAGAATTGATTTGTTCTTGTTCTTTTTTTGTGTGTTTTCATACAGTTCTTACTTCTAGTATTATCACTTGAATTTTACTTTATTGAATTTGGTCAAGGAGAAAATGCATTAGTTTTCTGCGGGTCTTTTGACAGCATGAAATGATTAAGCTATTTGATTTCCATGCTTAATACATATTTTGGTCACTATTATGATTTTGCTGGCATAATGATGGTGTGGTCACTTACATTGCCACATCTTTATTTTCTTCTATATGCAAATGTTACAAAAAACACTTAACTATTGGTTGAAAAATACTACTGTTTTTATATCTTAAGGCATATATTTGCACTGCAGTTTTACTGTTTTTAGCTATTGGTTGCTTTTCTGTGTTTTTTTCCTTATGGAAGCAGGCTTGGATATTTACTCACACACAAAAATTGTCCCTCTGGATTCAACTGAATTGTCTCCCTTAATTGTCTCTCTTTAAAGAGAACTATAGGATTATCTTAAATCTATTGTTAACTGTTAAGGAATTTGCAGAGCAACCCTTGAGTGTATGCACATGAAAAGTGATTGAGAGTAGTTAGGAAATAACACAGCCAATACACAGATACACTGAGTTATGTTTACTTTCAGGAAATAGTAATAAGGCACAGTTCAATAAACAGTTTAGGTCATACACAGATAAAGCAGTAGATAGTAAAACAATAGTCCAGTGATAATCCAATAACAAAGTCTTCTTACCAGTCGTTGTAGTCATATACAATAATCAGTTCTTCTGTATTTGCAAACAGTAGCAAACACAGCAAAGATATCAGCAAAGAGAAACAAACCAGGTTTGTTGTTAGGTCCCTTTTAAGGACATTGGCTACAGAGCTAACTAATCGGGACACAGTATGATGCAATACAGCAATACAGCAGTCTTAAAACTATATTGATGGTTTATATATTGCCAACCCAACAAGTTAAGTAAAATCATTTCCTAACATTAACCATGCACTGTATCTGTGCAGACATGCAAATTGGGTTGTAGTCATGAGGTTTGGTATTCCTTCTTGCCAGCAATCCACCACCTGAGTGGAGTAGGAGGCTAATGCCTCCTACTAAGGCAGCATTTAACATCCAGCTGCCTGCAATTACTGCGAGTTCAATTCTCACCAGGCTCAAGGTCGACTCAGCCTTCCATCCTTTCTAAGGTGGGTAAAATGAGGACCCGGTTTGTGGGGGCAATAAGCTGACTTTGTATAAATATACAAAAGTATGAAGGCTATTGCTTAACGCATTGTAAGCCGCCCTGAGTCTCCGGAGAAGGGCTGCATATAAAAATAAAAATAAATAAATAAATAATGTTTTTCAAAGGAATCTTCAAACTTTGTAGTAAAGTTGGTACAGTCTTAATATGTAGGGAGTCGGAATAAGGTTGTCACATTGGCATCTGATGATGGTGCTCTTATCATTTTATGTTCTAGGATCCTAATGCAGATACAGAATGGAATGACATCTTGCGTAAAAAAGGCATCCTTCCTCCCAAAGAAAAGCTGAAAGAGCAAGAACAGGCAGAAGAAGAAAAGGAGCAGCAGATCCTCCAGCAAAAATCAGTTGGCAAGTAGTCTAGTTTAGAATGCTGAATTAATATGAAACTACTATTACCCAGGTTGTTGGGTTATTTATGATCTCAAAATATAGGAGCCTTCTCTTTGCAAACAAAGTTCTCATTAACTTCAGTGGCCTTTGTGTAATCATTGTATTTTGGGTTTGTGAAGTCTTGGGTGAAAAGGTTTCAAAATTAATTCTTTTACTTGAAAAGTAAGGATCAGGAGTGTCTGTGGAGATTCTCAGTCATCCAGGTCATGGTTGACCCAAAGATGCTTTATCAAGAGGCAATTGAACCTTCTGATTTTTCTTTGAAGACATTTCGCTTCTCATCCAAGAAGCTTCCGCCCATCCTTTCATTCCCCACCATCCAGCCAGAGCTGAAGAAGCATCTTGGATGAGAAGCGAAACGTCTTCAAAGAAAAACCAGAAAGTCCAGTTGCCTCTTGAAAAAACACCTTTGGGATAAGGACCAGGAGAAATATTCAGAACTGTTTGTGTTTCTAATGACTGGTTAAACTCAGCTGAATTTCTAACTGCTGTCTACATTGTAGGCTGGGATTTAATTCTCAGGATATATAATTTATAGACTTTGATCTACATATATAATTTTAATGAAATACAAGTAATCCTCAATTTACGGCTGTAATTAAGGCCAGAATTACAGTGGTAAGTCAGGTTGCTTGTTAAGCGGGTCAACATGTAATCACGCCCAATTTTACATCCCTTTTTGTAATGGTTGTTAAGTGAATCCCCATAGACACTAAGTGAATACCATGGTTATTAAGAGAATGCTGCAGTCATTAAATCAACCCATTGTCTGCAATTAACCTTTTTTTCTGGAAAGTAAATGCCAGGTTTTGGCAAAAAAATGTAATTTGGCTCTGTAAACAACCATAAATGCAGACCAGTTGCTGAGTGCCCAAAATATGATCACATGACCAGGTGGGAGGTTATTGGAATATTCAATCCAGATCATACCTAGTCTTGGGGAGGTTCATTGGAACTTCAAATGGTTGCTAAGCATTTGTAAATGTTGTAAATTGAAGACTACCTGTATAAAATTAGCGGTGAAGGTACTCTCATCACATGAATTGTTTTTATATACTTCTGGTCTTTCTTTTAGTAAGAAATTTGGCAACTACTGTAGATTATAATTTATAATAGTTCAAGTCAAACAGCTCTTGAGAACAACCCTATAGAAAGTCAGAGAAAGGGTATTGTTTTGTAAAGCAAAATAAATAACAATTAGTTTTGTAAACAATACCCTTTGACTGAGAGCTACAGTCTCTAAAAGTCATAGCAATCTTAAAAACATGTCCCTAGGTCAACACTAATGAGTAATCTAGAATTCCAGAGATTCTCTTAGTTGAAAAGGGCATGCTTGCTTGCTTGCTTGCTCATTCATTCATTCATTCATTCATTCATTCATTCATTCATTCTGCATTCAATTTATATGCCACCCATCTCACTCTTGGAGCAACTCTGGGTGTCTTACAAAATGATAAAAAGATAAATATAAGAACAATTACAATTAAATAGAGAATATAAACCAAGGGGATGGATAGCACAGGGCTGTGGTATTCACAGTCATCTACCACCATTATAAAGTGCCCCACTATAACAAATTTCCAAACTTGGCCTGTTTCAAACTAAGGAGAGTAACATATTTAGGAAATCTGCCTTAGATCAACTAATATAACTGGTAAGGTTCATGGGACTGGAGAGATGGCCTTAGCATGTGATCAGGAGTAAGATTATTGTTTTTGAACCCATTTGTTTGATTCATGGGGTGCTCTTTTCAGAATTAAAAATTCTTTTATTGAGCAAGATTGTCCCCCTTGGCAAAGATTATAATTGCCTTTCTTATTATACGTCATTTAGAAAAGAAGCAGATGATTGCTGCCTAAAATAAGAATTGGCTCAGTAGGAGCAGTAGCCTTGTAGCAAATGAATACTCCCAGCAAGTTAGTTGCAGGAGCAGAGTTAATGAGATGGCATCATTCTGAGGGCAATAACAATTAGGTTCAAGTCTGTGTAGAAGTGATTCACTTTTCCTTTTGCAACAAGTTTGTTATATGAACATCTAGTGGAGAGAACTGTGCCTAATTTAACAAACAATCATTTTCACAGCATGGTCAGTACCAGGATTTCCCATCTTTAGCAACTTTAAAACATGTGGACTTCAACTTCCCAAACCAACAAGTCCAGAAGGTCTTAAAGTTTGCCAAGTGTAGATGCTCTACACCACGGGTGTCAAACTCGCATTGTCACTTGATGTATTGGAACTTTTTTCCCCTTCGCTAAACCGGGCGGGGACAGGCCAGCATGTGACGCATCCGGCCCGTGCGCCGCAAGTTTGACACCCCTGCTCTACACTATCCTACTGCAAAGTTTCTTAATAAGATTCACCTATAAGCTCACCTGGAATGATATTGAAATGGACCCCTCATCTGTTACTTCCCTAGTTTTTGGACCGCCTCTCTTGCAGAAATGAGCCTGGCACAACTATTAATATTTTTAAAAGCCTTTAAACCATTTTTGCTTATTTAAACTATTGGTTAATATTACTGTTTTTTATTGGATTCAGTTGGTGGCTTTGACTTATACCCAATTTAAATAAACAAATATTAGAAAGATAAGGATGAAATACATAAGATGAGATGAAGTACAGTGCGTCCACTCCTCATCCTGCCCTACCCCTTGTGCTTTCTGACTTTCTGAAATACGAATAATGTTCCTACTACCTGGACCCATGTTAAATCAGAACCCTAAATGGTATGAACTCTCTCAATAACAGAGAAATAAAATTCTTCTTTAGGGCTTTTTGCAGAGGTCGAGAACGCAACAGATGGTACAGGAAGAATGCAAGATTATGCTAGCTAAGGGACAAGATTTGGTTCTCTACATGTGTTAGCTCCCTGAGACTTATTAGAAACTATTTCTGCCAGCACAAAGGTGTACAGAGCAAAAATGTTGGCAACATAACACGCAAGCTGTCTTTAAAGGGCTTCTATTCATAAAATTTACATGATTCACATTCAAAAGAGATCTTTGTGTGTAATTCTTTATTGTCTACAGTCTGAAATTTGTCCTTGGTAAAGAGTTACCGAATTCTTGTTTGTACTGATGACTCTGTATTTCTCCCATATCAGTTAAGACCTATGAAGATATGACTCTGGAGGAACTTGAAGAAAATGAAGATGAATTCAATGAGGAGGATGAACGTGCTATAGAAATGTATAGGTTAGAATCTTTTGTTGAATGTGCCATAAATAAGATATAGTTATAATTGGAAATTATTGTTGATGTTGTAAAGAACTCTGGATAAACTTTCCAGTTTTAGCCAAGTCAAACCTTCTTCTATAACTTATAAAATAACCATTTGTATACCGGTAGTCCTTGTTTTCAGACTGCCTCAAAGCAGCCATTTGCAATTAAAACAACAATGAAAAAGTAACTTTAGAAACAATACTTGGAATATAACCTTTGAGGGTCTATAAAGCAAAGGAAAGCTAAAATTAGATCATAAGTATAGTTGTGGTCTCACTTAGCGGCTGCCTCAATTAGTGACCAAGTTGCCAGTCTGAATTATTGCTAAATCATAAATAAATAAATAAATAAATAAATAATTTTATTTCTATACCGCCCTTCTCCCGAAGGACTCAGGGCGGTGTACAGCCAATTTAAAAACACAACACACAACAATAATTAAAAATTAAAATAATTACATAGATTTGGCCGATTTAAAACCCCAAACATTTAAAATACCCCAATTAAAATTATTAAGTTGATAGCCCTGCCTGGCGGAACAACAGGGTCTTCAGTGCGCAACGAAACACTCGGAGGTCGGAGATCTTGCGTATTTCCGGGGGCAGTTCATTCCACAGGGCTGGGGCTCCCACAGAAAAGGCCCTCCCCCTGGGTGTCGCCAGCCGACATAACTTGGCTGATGGCACCCTGAGGAGACCCTCTCTGTGGGAGCGGACTGGTCGGTGGGAGGCTATTGGTGGCAGAAGACGGTCTCGAAGGTACCCGGGTCCTATGCCATGGAGCGCTTTAAAGGTGGTAACCAACACCTTGAATCGCACCCGGAAGACCACTGGGAGCCAGTGCAGCTCGCGCAGGAGGGGTGTCATGCGGGCACAACGAGTTGCGCCCATAACCACCCGCGCGGCCGCATTCTGGACCAGTTGGAGCCTCCGAGTGCTCTTCAAGGGGAGCCCCATGTAGAGAGCATTACAATAGTCCAGCCGGGAGGTGACAAGGGCATGAGTGACCGTGCGCAAGGCGTCCCGGTCCAGAAAGGGCTGCAACTGGCGGATCAGGCGAACCTGATAAAAGGCCCCCCTGGCCACGGCCGTCATATGCTCTTCTAAAGACAGCCGTGCGTCCAGGAGGACACCCAGATTGCGAGCCCTCTCTGTGGGGGGCAAAGATTCACCCCCAATAGTCAGCGATGGCACCTGCTGACTATATCGGGACGCCGGCAGCCACAGCCACTCGGTCTTGGATGGGTTGAGTCTGAGCCTGTTCCTCCCCATCCAGACCCGCACGGCCTCCAGGCAGCGAGACATCACATCAAGGGCATCGTTGGGGTGGTCTGGGGTGGAGATGTACAGCTGAGTATCATCAGCGTACAGATGACACTTCACCCCAAAACCACGGATGATCTCACCCAGTGGCTTCACATAAATGTTGAACAGAAGGGGCGAGAGGACCGACCCTTGTGGCACTCCCCATGCGAGATGCCTCGAGGTCGACCTCTGCCCCCCTGCCAACACGAACTGCGAGCGGTCGGAGAGGAAGGAGGAGAACCACCGCAGAACGGTGCCCCCTATTCCTAACCCTCTTAACCGCCGCAGCATGATACCATGGTCGATGGTATCAAAAGCCGCTGAGAGATCTAATAGGACTAGGACAGAGGAGCAACCCCTGTCCCGAGCCCTCCAGAGATCATCCACCAACGCGACCAATGCCGTTTCTGTGCTGTGCCTCTGCCTGAAGCCCGACTGGCACGGGTCTAGATAGATAGCTTCATCCAGGTGCCCGGGCAGTTGTCGTGCCACCACACTCTCAACAACCTTCGCCACAAAACGAAGGTTGGAGACCGGACGGTAGTTAGCTAATTCAGCCGGGTCCAGGGAAGGCTTCTTGAGGAGGGGCCTCACCACCGCCTCTTTCAAGGCGGCGGGAAAGGCACCCTCACTCAGACAAGCAGTTATAATCCCCTGGAGCCAGCTTCGTGTAACCTCCTGGGAGGCCAGTACCAACCAGGAGGGACACAGGTCCAATAAACATGTGGCGGCACTAATCCTACCCAGAACCCTGTCCACATCCTCGGGAGCCACAGGATCAAACTCCTCCCAGATAATATTCTCAAGGCCTGCCCCTGTCTCCTCCCCTGGACTCATCCAATCGGAGTCCAAGCCATCCCGAATCCGAGCGACTTTATCATGCAGGAATTGCACAAAATCCTCAGCGCGGCCTTGCAAGGGATCTTCCCGCACTCCCCCCCGAAGAAGGGAGTGGGTCACCCTAAACAGGGCGGCTGGGCGGTTCTCTGCAGATGCGATAAGAGCGGAAAAATGGTTAGATTTCGCCGCTTTTATCGCCACTAGGTAGGTCTTGATATAAGACCTCACCTGTGTCCGGTCGGAATCAGATTGACTAGTCCTCCAAATGCTCTCTAGGCGTCTTTTCCGACGCTTCATCTCTCTCAGCTCCTCAGAGAACCAAGGAGCCAATTGAGATCGGCATCGGGTCAGAGGCCGCAAAGGCACGACGCGGTCCAAAGCTCCGGTGGCCGCACTCTCCCAGGCGGCCACCAGCTCTTCAGTCGAGTCGTGTGCCAGAGTCTCAGGAAACGGCCCAAGCTCCGTCAGGAACCTTTCGGGGTCCATCAGGCGCCTGGGACGGAACCATTTGGTCGGTTCCGTCTCCCTGCGGCGGGGGAAAGCGGTAGGAAAGTCCAAGTGAAGGAGCGAATGATCTGTCCATGACAAGGGTTTGATGTCTAGGTCCCCTCTACCAAGATCATTCAACCACTGACCAGAGACAAAAATCAGGTCCAGAGTGTGTCCCCCTATGTGAGTCGGGCCTTGAACTAACTGGGTCAGGTCCATGGCCGTAATGGAAGCCATGAACTCCCGAGCCGCCTCTGACGCCTCACCCGCAGACGGAAGGTTGAAATCCCCCATGACAATAAGTCTGGGGGTGTCAACCGCCACCCCGGCAATGACGTCGAGTAGCTCGGGCAGGGTCGCTGCCACGTGGCAGGGAGCCAGGTACGCAGTCAGCAAACCCATCTGCACCCCACGGCCCCACTTCACAAAGAGGGACTCACATCCGGCTATCTGAGGAACAGTGGTCTCCCTCGGACAAAGACTCTCCCTAATAATCACTGCCACTCCCCCACCCCTCCCCTGGGCCCTTGGCTGATGAAATGCACAGAAACCTGGTGGGCACATTTCAACGAGGGGGACCCCCCCCCTTGGCCCAACCAGGTCTCCGTAATACCTGCCAGGTCCGCACCCCCCTCTAAAATAAGATCACAAATGAGGGGGGCTTTATTAACAACCGACCTGGCATTACACATTACATTCATTGCTATTTGTATGTACAAATTCACAGAAATAGTGCCTGCATAAGTGTAGTCTAGCAGTGAGATCACACTGGCACTCAGGTCCGTACAAAGCATTTGGAAAAAAAGAATGGTTGGCAATATATAGGATGTATAAACAGCTTGTTTCAAATTCCTAAAACAGCCACATCTTTTGCAAGGATTGTGGATTGCTTTGGAAATTGTTCCTATGTTCTGCCCCAGCTCCGGATTTCCGAGGCTATTGACACACACCAACGGTCCTTATCAAATGTATTAAGTAACAAGAATAAACAAGACCCGCAAAGGTTGGCAACCAGCCCAGAAAGCAAGATATGATAAACCAAAATACTCTGATTATAAATACCAGTTGTTTCCAGCAAAAAAGCACTAGCTGCGTGAGACTTAAATAGGCTAAGGGAGTGGCGAATTATCCTCAAGCCCTACTCTCGAGTAGACCTCCTCCTCCTGAGTAGCCACTCCTGCCTTTTGGAAGCCCTGCGTGCTCAAGCATTTAGGAGAGGCTCCTCCACTTCGCTCTCTCCACTTGAAGGAACCTCTGGAGGTTCTGAAGGCCCTGGCTGAGTGAGGCCTCTGGCACCACATCCTCTTCAGCCTCCTCGCTGTCTGACGCGAGCGCGGGCTGTGCAGGCTGCTGGCGTGACACCACACCAACCTCCTCTTCATCGGAATCAGCCACAATCTGTGCAGGCCACTGGCGGGCCACAACATCCTACTGTCTCTAGGTGCACTGAGCAAAATAGCTGTGCGTACGTATGCCAATGTATCATAGCATATAAGAACAGAGAAGTAGAAAATTCATATCAAATTAATGGATATTATAGAAGATATCTATAATTTACAAAAACAGAATTAAGTGAATTACTCAAAAATTAGAGTAATTTATATTACAGTTAAACCAGTCAGATCCATAAAAATAAACAGGTATCTTGTATGTGCAATAAACCTTCAGTTCACTTTGATAGCGCCTGACACAATAAGGGACAAAATGAATGTAACAGTGAATTTTAAAAAATATTTGTTCTATAAAAGATGTATTTGAAGCTTTTGTCTCTAAATAAAACATTATGATATTGGCATTCACTCAGGAAGAAACCTAACCTCAGTAAATGTATTATGTAGCCAGCATCATCTGGGAAATTATATTTCCAAATAAGAAATTGAAATGTTATAATTAAAACAAAAATTAGATAAATTAGAGGGTGTTGCAGTAGTGTCCTTCCTTGGATATAAGCCTCTTTTAGCAGTTTACTTATAAGTACAAGTATCTGAATTAAGATAAATGTGTGCCTGTGCAGTTCATAAACTTTTAGCTGGATCAGCGCAAGTACCATTTTTTTATCCCTTGAAAGCACTTGCTCAAATTTTTTAAAGGGCCTAGACTTGTACTTAACTGCCAATGTTATATAATGTGTATAATATATATTTTATAAAGTTTAATATTGGGATGATAAGAAAGGTACGGTATCTGTCAGATACCTAGGACAGTCTGTGTCAAAGTGGACAATACATGACTGGCATATAAAACAACTTCCTGACTCTATTATGATCTATCAAATCTGATCTTTCTCTTTTACAGTTTGGGATTATTGAATCTAAGTGATGATATTTAAACAGTTAAAATCTAGAGCCAAAATTATTGGATATACTGCAGTTGGTGATGAAGACTTCCCTGAATCTGGGAACAAGTTGCATCTGGAGAGTAGTTTTAAACGTTTTTTTTTCCCCATTCTCTACTACCCTTAATATTTCTTTATCCCTTGTTTTAATCTCTCAAAAATATTTATTCTGTTTCCTGAAAATAAGACCTCCCTGGATAATAAGCCCAATCGGGCTTTTGAGTGCATGGGCTAAAATAAGCCCTCCCTGAAAATAAGCCCTCCCCGAAAATATTTAAACGCATGCGCAGCCAGTCCCACCATTTCCTCTGGTTAGGGTTAGGGAGACAGAGCTGGAAATCACGTAAGATGCCAAGGAGAGCCCCGTCTTGCTCCACACGCCCTAAAATAATAAGACCTCCCTGAAAATAAGGCCAAGCGCTTATTTCGGGGTTCAAAAAAGTATAAGACGGGGTCTTATTTTCGGGGAAACACGGTAATTTTCATCTCCCTTATATTTTGATGTATAAAGGGGAAGAACCATGGTTTATGACATAATGTGACTGGTAAACCTGATTACTGGGATTTGTTTAACCATCCATTGTAAAAGCAAGACATAGTTTCAGAGGATAAATGAACTACTGGTAGCTTTAAAAAGTTTGTTATCTTTTAAATGCTTGCAATATTGGGATAAAAGCATTGCCCCACATCCATTAAAATTGTCAAAATTTTATTGCAATGTTACGTATTCGATCTCCTGCTAAATATGGTCTGAACGAGGAATTATCACTCTGGCTAGAAATTCTGGGAATAGCAGCCCCAGGCATCTGAAGGACCCAGATTGGAGAAAGATGGCTCTGTTCTGAATAACTAAACATTTTTCTATAAAGAGGAAATATTTATATATGTATATGTTTCTTTTCTTGATTCTATATTGTGCAGGCAGCAGAGAATAGCTGAATGGAAAGTGTCTCAAGCAAAGAATAAATTTGGACAAGTTTTGGAGATCTCAGGACAGGATTATATTCAGGAAATTACAAAAGCTGGCAAAAATATCTGGGTGATATTGCATCTTTACAAGCAAGGGTAAGCAAGCATTTCAAGGCTTTTTGTCTTCCTGGATAATTTTTCTCTGGTAGATTGGATCATTGTGCTACGGTATGACAATACTGCTAATTGCTGTCCAAGGAGAGGCATTAAAAGTATAATTTCTCTTTTTATGCCTAATTCAGTTGCAAATTAATAGAGGTTGCAATAGAGCCGTGATGGCGAACCTATGACATGCGTGCCACAGGTGGCACGCAGAGCCATATTGGTGGGCACGCGAGCATTGCCCTAGCTCAGCTGCAGCGCACTTAAGCGCAGAGGCCAACTGATTTTCGGGCCTTCTGGGCACACTGGAAGTTGGCAGATGGGCCTCCAGAGGGCCTCCAGGGGGGTGGGGAAGACCGTTTTCACTCCTAGAAAGCCTCTGGAGCCTGGGGAGGGGGAAAAACGGGCCTATCGGGCCCACTGGGCCATCATGTGCCAAAAACGGGGAGCACGGGGTTACGCCTGCATGCCCGGGGGGGTGGGGCGCATTGAATTGTGGATGTGGGCGCGCTCCCCCCGCTTTTGGCACACAACAGCAAAAAGGTTAGCCATCACTGCAATAGAGGTTGCAATAGTCTTAACTGTGTGGAAATGTGGATGGTTTCCTATTCAAATGAGAGAGCCTCTTCCTTTCTTTTCAACGTACAAGCATTCATATAGTGACCATTCTAAATTACAAATGCATTGAAAAAAAGTAACTTACAACCAGTCCTCACATTATCCCTGTCACAATGTCCCTTGGTCACGTGATCAAAATTAGTTTATTTGGCAACTGCCATGTATTTATAATGGCAAAAAAAGGTTGTAAAATCGGGTATGACTCACTTAACCACCTTGTTTAGCGACAGAAATTGTGGTCCCAATTGTGTTGAGGACTACTTTAATAGGCAGTCTGCTGAAACTTGTAGATACAGTTTGTTTGTAAACAGTAGCTACAAATCATGAATATTGCCCGTTATGGACATTTGTTTTCTTTTGCATATGGGTCTTTTTTTTTCTTTCTTCAAATTTAGTATTCCTCTCTGTGCCTTGATAAATCAACACTTAAGTGGACTTGCCAGGAAGTTCCAGGATGTCAAGTTTGTCAAAGCTATTTCTACAACTTGCATACCCAACTATCCTGATAGAAACCTCCCCACAATCTTTGTCTACCTGGAAGGTGACATCAAGGCCCAGTTTATTGGGCCACTGGTATTTGGAGGCATGAATTTGACAAGAGATGGTGAGTGTCTATTTCTCAATAAACAGAATTCTTTTCTACACAGAAAATTGATTAAGGTAGTCTGCCACTAAACTTCAGTGTATTCTTACTTTCCTTCCTTAAATAATCTCCATATCAAAAAAGTTAAGGTTGCAAAAATTAAATTATTAAATAAAAGAGGTTTTGGTTTTTTGAGATAGTGGTCCTCCTTTCCTTCTGCTTTACCAGTTACTGTATATGTGTTCCTACATTTCCGATCAATTGAAGCCGTTCTGAATTGGTATGGATAAATGTTGTGCTAGTTTTTAAAATTGATTGATTTGAATCTTAATAAAAAATGTTTAGCTCCCTTTTTTTTGGGAGCTCTGATTGCATCAGCATAGTAGGCAAGGCTTGTTATATTTGGCACATCTTGGCAATTGTGTATGATGCATGTAATCAATGCTTTTTTTGTAGGAGGAAAACTCTGATTATTAACATCAGTCCTTTTCTAGTACATGTTAGATAAACTATTATACAAGCAAAATGAACATACTTTTCTAACATAGAAATAGGAATAAGTGCTCCCCTCTTAATGTTATCTACTTCATTTTGTTCTCTTATCCCTTCCTCCCCCCCAGTACTTTAGTCACTTTAATCGTCACATCTGTAGAACTAGTCTGAGTAGAAAATCTAGATCATGCTAATTTTCTTTTTAAGCTAACATAAATGAGATTGACTGATTAGGTTGCCCACAGAGTTAACAGTGTGATATCTGATTAACTTGTACTATTGACTTGCTTCCATTTCTGGGATGTAAGCCAGTGTGAACATGTGCAATAAAAACCTGCTGCTACATGGAAAATGTCTGTTTTGTTGCTGTAAAGAAATAAGCAGGGAATTGGGTGTTTATGTCTTTGAGCTCTACAGAAGATGCCCCCCTCCATTCCAAACAGTTGTCGCAGTTCCAAATGAATTGCAAACAAGATAAAGGAGGTGAGATGAAGTGTCCATTCTTGGCTAGCTGTAGCATGTCAGTTAATGTCCTGAAGGCTGCTTCAAGGAGTTCATGTAGAACTTAGCATTATAGTAAAAGTGGAAAAGAAAACAACAGATGGAATTGTTCAGAGGGAGAAGGAACATGGTGATACTTTCTTCTTTCCAACTTCACAAGGCATTCATAATGTGTCATTTCTTCCTGTTGTTTATCTCTTACATTTAGAATTAGAATGGAAAATTTCTGAGTCAGGTGCCATTAAGACAGACCTGGAAGAGAACCCCAGGAAACAAATTCAAGATCAGATGATGACGTCCATCAAGTGCTCTGTTCCAACAAAGAGAGAAGAAAGTGACTCAGAGGAGGATTAAGGCCTCATGTGCAGCTCTTTGCTGTGCCCAATTACTCAGAATTGCTCTTCAATGAAACCAGAATATTTATTGCTATAAAATAATGTGTTTGATTTCAGCCTAACAAATATCGGTGATGGTAAAAAGAAACTTCATTATTCATACAGGAATAAAGTAAAAGCAATTTTTAAACTTGGCATGTCATTGAAATCACTTGTGATGGACCATCTTACTTACAAATGTGGTATCTGTTTGGACTCTTAAGTAAGTGTGGTATACTCTCTTCTCTGCTGCAGTGTCACTTTAGGACTTGGTAAAAATTGTATGATAAATTTTGGAACAGCTACATTGATAGCTGTAGGCCTGTATTGATCAGTTTAACCTAACCTGCAGTAGGTTAATATTAACATAAAGTTATCTAAATCAGTGGGTTTATCTGCATATTTGTTTAAAAATCCTGAAATCCGTTCAAGTACAGGTAGTCCTCAACTTACAGCTATTCATTTAGTGACTATTTGAAGTTACAACAGCACTGAAAAAGGGTATTTATGACCAGTTTTCACATGACCGCTGCAGCATCCCCATGCTCAGGTAATCAAAATTTGGCCACTTGGCAACTGGCACATATTTATGACAGTTGCACTGTCCCAGGGACATGTAATCAACATTTGTAAAGTTCTCAGCTGTTCTCGTCAATGGGATAAGCCAAATTCACTTAACAACTCTATGATTTATTTAACAACTGCCGTATGGACATTTTCAATTCAGTTGCGGTTGTAAGTAGAGGACTCTGTAAAGGAAATACAGAACAGTTTGAAATAAAAATTGAGTCTGTTTTCCTCTTCTGTATTCATGAGCTAGACCTAATTTATAACAACTGTAACTATACTTTATGGGTCATTAAAAATATAATGAATTTATACTGTAGAATATTATCTTTTCAATTTTTGGATATTTAAATAATAATGGTCAAGTGCGGAAAACATTGGCTTGCATGATTTCAGACTAGAAATGAAGAGTAATAGGAATATTCACTGTTGTAAACAATCTTGAATTTACATTTTCTATAAATTTTAAGCATAAAATGTTTTGTTTACTGGTAAAACAAGCATTCTGATGTATTTAAATCTTGTCTCCTACGCTGAAAGGATTTACCTGCAATTAGTATAGAAAAAAACCAGGGGAGACATGATAGCAGGGTTCCAATATTTGAAGGGCTGCCACAAAGAAGGTGTCAACCTTGCACCCGAAGGCAAGACAAGAAAGAATGGATGGAAACTAATCAAAGAGAGATCTAACCTAAAACTAAGGAGAAATTTCCTGGCAAAACAATCAACCAGTGAACAACTCGCCTTTAGAAGTTGTGGGTGCTCTATCACTGGAAGTTTTTAAGAGGAGACTGGGCAGCCACCTGTCTAAAATGGCATAGGGTCTCCTGCTTGAAGAGGGGGTTGGACTAGAATACCTCCAAGATCCCTTCCAACTCTATTATTCTATGTTCTAAACCTCAAGAATTAATCACTGATAACATACACATTATATTTAAAATATATCAGCTTAAATTCATGTGTTCAGTTTACAAATTTATCACATTTTTCATTTTTTGCTTGAATTTGGATTTCAATTCCTTGAATCCCAAGTAACAAGAATTTAGTTTTCTGGCAAATTTCATAACAAAGATATAACCAAGATTGCACAAATATCTCTGTAAAAGAGATGATCTCAAATGGACAGTTACAATAGATAGAGCAAAACAATTAAATTGGACAACATTATTTCAGTCTTATAATGTAGTGGCAGCAAGTATGTCATTGGGAATCCCTGTGTAGGGATCAGGTTTTAACTTACATTCTCAGTCTATATCCCAAATATCCCTATATTTGCTTAACAAATATTTTCACAAAATTTTCACAACCCATTGTAATTGTAGAGTCAGAAGAAAAGTTGTAGATTTGGTTTATATATAGTCCTTAAGGCCTGAAGGTTGTGAGAGTGGATAGGGAAGAATAGAGTCAAATTCAATGTTAGTAATGCCAAGTGGATGTAGTCATGACCTCCTGATCTGGATATTTTCCATCTTTGATTGTAAATGAGATCCAGACAATCAAGTGCATAATTTGGGCACACACACACACACACACACACACACACCGGATATAACTAGTTCTAATTGAACAGCAGATGGTGGCCATGTATTGCAGGACCTTGGGTTCAGATTTTCACAAATCTGTTCTGTGCACATTCTTGGGTTAGGAAATCCTACCCATTGTCACCCACAACCTGATAACCTTTCATCTGGGTTATTGCCATGCGCTTTTGGAGGTACATTTGAAGAACACTTGGAAGCTATAGTTGGTCCAGATTGCAGGACTGTAGGTGTCCATGTAACACTACTACTTCACAAGTTGTACTGGTGGCCAATTTATTTCCAGGTGAATTCAAGCTATTGGTTATTACAATATAATGTCCTTCAAGGTACAGGGCCTGGCTATCTCCTGGACCTATTTCTGATTTTCTCTGCCCCTCCATAGGATATAACAACTGCACACTCTAGGTCCCTGTCCATTAAGGTATATTATCTAGTGAGATTAGTTACCCTGAATTATCTATCTGAATCATGTCTAGACATGGCTGGGAATTCTGGGACTTGAAGTATCCATCTTAAATTGTCAAGGTTGAAAAATAATCAACCTTGACAGAGAGTGACTACTGTATGTAAATTAACTAAACAACAAACCCTTTGTTCAGTTTAAATAATAGCATAGCTTTTCATTACTTGTATGTTGCATTAGAGCAGATTCCTTTAATCTAGATTCCTAATCCAGGAATTCTTAATCCAGATGTTTGTATGTGTATGTACCACCACAGGTTATGGCACGTCCTGGTGACCCAGCTCAATTGGAAGAATAAATTTACACCACCAACATGCATGCCTTGTTAGTTATCATATACTTGGTATAGTGAGCTGTATGAGTAGAAGATAGCGGCGGCGATAGATATAGTGGTACCAAGTGATAGAATGATCAGGAAGTGTGAGAAGCTGGAGAAGTACTAAGGCCTGAAGGAAGATCTAGAGGAGATGTGAAAAGTAAAGGCCAAAGTGATCCCAGTGGTGGTAAGAGCACTCATAAGCTGGGGGAATGGCCCAAACAGATTCCAGGAACAGAACACTGTCCCAGATCCTGTGACCCCTGATGACGTGGACAGGATTCTAGGTAGACTGAACGCGACCACATGTTTGTTGGACCCGTGTCCTTCCTGGTTAGTGCTGGCTTCCCGGGAGGTGACGCAAGGCTGGCTCCAGGAGATTATAAATGCTTCATTGGGCGAGGGTGTCTTCCCCGCCGCCCTGAAGGAGGCGGTGATGAGGCCTCTCCTCAAGAAGCCTTCCCTGGACCCGGCAGTATTGGCCAATTATCATCCAGTCTCCAACCTTCGCTTCGTGGCGAAGGTTGTTGAGAGTGTGGTTGCGCGACAGCTTCCCCAGTACCTGGATGAAATGATGTATCTGGATCCGTTCCAGTCGGGCTTCAGGCCTGGGTACAGCACAGAAATGGCATTGGTCGCGTTGGTTGATGATCTCTGGAGGGCTCGGGACAGGAGTTGCTCCTCTGTCCTGGTCCTGTTAGATCTCTCAGCGGCTTTTGATACCATCGACCATGCTGCACCGGTTGGAAGAGTTGGGGGTGGGAGGCACCGTACTACGGTGGTTCTCCTCCTTTCTCTTTGACCGGTCACAGTCTGTGTTGACTGGGGGACAGAGGTCGACCCCGAGGCACCTCATATGTGGGGTGCCACAAGGATCGGTCCTCTCGCCCCTTTTGTTCAACATTTATGTAAAGCCGCTGGGCGAGATCATCCGTGGTTTCGGGGTGAAGTACCATCAGTACGCTGATGACACCTAGTTGTACATCTCCACTCCAGACCACCCCAACGATGCCCTTGAAGTGATGTCCCGGTGCCTGGAGGCTGTACGGATCTGGATGGGGAGAAACAGGCTCAGGCTCAACACATCCAAGACCGAATGGCTGAGGTTTCCGACGTCCCGATATAGTCAGCTGGTGCCATCGCTGACTATTGGGGGTGAATCATTGGCCCCCACGGAAAGGGCTCGCAACTTGGGCGTCCTCCTGGATTCACGGCTGTCTTTAGAAGAGCACTTGACGGCCGTGACCGGGAGGATTTTTCATCAGGTTTGCCTGATCTGCCAGTTGCGTCCCTTTCTAGATCGGGACTCACTATGCACAGTCACTCATGCCCTCGTCACTTCCCGTCTGGATTATTGTAACACTCTCTACATGGGGCTCCCCTTGAGGAGCACTTGGAGGCTCCAACTAGCACAGAGTGTGGCCGCGCGAGTGGTTATGGGAGTGACGTGGCGTTCCCATGTAACATCTCTCCTGCGCAAGCTGCACTGGCTCCCGGTGGTCTTCCGGATGCGCTTCAAGGTTTTGGTTATCACCTTTAGAGCGCTCCATGGCTTAGGACCTGGTTATCTACGGGGCCACCTGCTACCACCAATAGCCTCCCACCGGCCAGTACGCTCCCATAGAGAGGGGCTCCGCCGGGTGCCGTCGGCCAAACAATGTCGACTGGTGGCCCCTAGGGGGAGAGCCTTCTCTGTGGGGGCACCTACGATCTGGAATGAGCCCCCCCCCCCGGAGATTCGGAGGATCCCGGATCTGCGCACCTTCTGTCGCGCGCTCAAGACTTTTTTATTCCATCAAGCTGGTCTGGCCTAAATCTTTCCCCCTTTTAAATGTAAATTTTAATTTGTTTTTAAATTATTGGGTATTTTAAATTTTTAAATTAAATTATTTAATTCGTTTTTATTCTATTTTAAATTTTTATATTTATGTGTTTTATTCTGTGGCTGTTCACCGCCATGAGTCCTTCGGGAGTAGGGCCATATATAAATCCAATAAAAACAAAAACAAAACAAAAACAAAACAAACAAAACTGTCCAGAAGAGTACAGTGCTAGGAACAGCTAAGATCCTACAAGAACCCTCAGTGTCAAGAGGACTTGACATTGAGAGAGACGCACATATTACCCATAGTGTGTGTGTGTGTGTGTGTGTGTGTGTCCATGGTAAAATGACAGTTAAAAAATTTCACCTGTCTCGTGTGAAAAAGGCCCTTGAATTATCTCTAGTAGTGAAGAAATATTGAAGAAATTAGGTATGTCCTGAAGATGGCACTGTTTACCATGGAAAGTCCATTGTCTTCTTGAAACAATCCTGGGATATTTATTAGATGATAGACTTTATTCAGTTGCCAAGTTGGCATACAGTAAAGTTAAAGGTAAAGTTTCCCTTAGCACATATGTGCTAGTCGTTCCCGACTCTAGGGGACGGTGCTCATCTCCGTTTCAAAGCTGAAGAGCTAGCGCTGTCCGAAGACGTCTTCGTGGTCATGTGGCCAGCATGACTAAACGCCAAAGGCGCACGGAATACTGTTACCTTCCCACCAAAGGTAGTCCCTATTGTTCTACTTGCATTTTTACGTGCTTTCGAATTGCTAGGTTGGCAGAAGCTGGGACAAGTAGCGGGAGCTCACCCCGTTATGTGGCACTAGGGATTCGAACCACTGAACTGCCGACCTTTTGATCGATAAGTTCAGTGTCTTAGCCACTGAGCCACCACGTCCCTTTTGGCATACAGTAGTGACAGGCAATTTGCTATTACTAATCTCTATTCGGTGTCTGTTGCTTATGCTCCAAGCAACCACCCATTACTTTCTCTCCAATGTAATTGATAACAAAGCTTAACAGATTTTATATACAGTACCTTAAGTTCAACCCTTGGATAGTATTGGAATAATGAGGAAAATACTACTTTAATGCTAGAGGGAGCTAAGGCCTACTTATGTCTGGCTCATTCTTGGGCTGGGTGAGATGAAAGTAACATTGTGGGGACATT